TGGCATGGGAAAGATGATGTTGCATGCTCCGAGTTTGATGATTTTGTTTTGTTTTTGTTGTTGTTTTTTGGGTTCGGCGTCTTGTTAAAAGATGATTTTATATGTAGTCTGTAGGTTGTAGTTCGACGTAGGGTTGTTCTAATCTGTAAGAGGTGGATCTAGCATGGGAATACATGTCTGTTATAATTCTATATTATTTGCTTCTGTGATGTGACACCGGCCTATCTATCGTGTAGGAGCCGGGGGAAAGGGGTATGTTGTGGATGACGATGATACAGCTGGGATTACCCCTAGTATAACAATATAACAACCTATTGGGGTATGTAGTTGGGGTTTATCAGTACCTAATGTGGCTATCGGGGTGATTTGGTTTACTTGGGAAGAGCATGATCACTTAGTTTTCAACACAAGCAAAAGGATGAGCTAGGTATCTTCCCATAGAAATAGAGTCAGAAGGGGTGCATATCTGTAGATAAGCACCATCCTTCTCGTTCTAGAATTTAGTGCCTCTAATGTATCGCGTCAGGCTCACCAATAGACTCGTGACAAAAAGTTACAGGCGCAGGAGTAGAAAGGTAACCTCAAGTATTTTTTACGTCTAGAGACTGTATACACTAAATTACTATGATAAACACTGCTAGGCCGTAGCCTATGATGAGTCGTTGCATGTACAATGCTGTTGTTGATGGGTATAACAAATGCACACCCGTTCCATTCCTTATTATACAACGCCGTGTATTTTGTCTGTCCAGTCCCATTGTGATGCTCGTTTTATAGAGAGATTAACTTCAAGACGACGCTCAGCCAACAACCAGATATGCACCTTTATAAACCTCAGAACCCAGAACGCCGTGCCCGTTTCATGCTCTTCCATCATACGAATATGGTCTCTATAATAAAATCACAGAATTCTTCAATGTTCGGGATCTTGCCGCCTGGAAGCAGTTGGACCAGATCTCCGCTTCTTAGACTTTTTCGACCAATAGGACCAACACCGTCCTCGAGGTATGCCTTCTCCGCGTCAGAGAGCTCGCGCCTTTCGGATTCTCTCCATCTCTTCTCGGCCTCTTGTTTGGCCTTCCGGAGGATTTCTTCGGTATTCTCGGTTTCCCATAGGTTACATTTGTTACATTCCTTGCATCGCCGGCCATCGCCCTCGGGCCTGAAATGTTGGCAAAAGTGGGAGTAGCCTTCAGTTGGCGTACCGATATCTTTACGGCAGACGTAGCACATCTTGTATCCACAGGGGCAGGTTAGTTTGTTGCATCCGGCTGTCTTGACAAACGACGTGTTACATCGCGGGCAAACACGCTTGATCGCCATGGACATTGCTAGCTCCACCTGCGTGCGTAGGGCAACAAGAGACGACTCGTGACAGACGTGAATATCTACCCATGCTTTGGAGCACGATATACAAGACGAGCGCGCGCAGGAAGGATTCTGGCAAGTGAACTTTAACCCACGGCGGCGACGCTGGTACCGGCTGAGGGCTGCTCTCAGGTGCCAGGATGCGTAACCCCTGAACGACCGATTCAAGCAAAGCACAAAACAGGCGAGCACAAACGTCAGAAGTGGAAAATAAACCGGTGATAGGACTAAACAAATGAAGACGATGATGAAGTTCGGAATGTTGCTCGTGCGGATCTTGAGCCTGGGCGAATTAGCTGGTACGTATAGTTCATCAACTTCAGCGTAAGTGCAGAACGGACACCGGATCAGAGGCAACCCGCTGGACAGAAGGCCATGCTCTGCCAGGCGTTGATCAAATTTGCGTATGATCTCTTCCCCGTTCTTCTCCTCGCGCATAGCTCGATGAATGTGCTCCGACGATATGCAGCCATCGCACTCGATCGATGCCACAGCAGGGCAACGAAGAGCGCCCATCTCCTTGTCAATGCTACGCTGCCAACCTTGCCCGAATATGGCTTCGGTGATGGAGTGTTGAACGCAGTGGAAGCAGACCAGATGCGCATCGGCGTCACAGGTCGTGAGCTCCTCAAAAATGACATCGGAATAGCAGCAGCTACACTCGTATGTTGCTTCGTAAGTTTCGGCCTCTTCTGTGAGTATGGAAATGGCCAGGGCGCGGTCGCTTGCCTGCCTCGAGAGTTGTTCACGTTGCTTCAATGGCATGATCAATTCCTCGAATAGTTCTCTATCCAACTCGACGCTGCCTGTTGCCTTCAAAGTCGGCACCATGGACCCATCGTCGGAGGCCCTCCATATGATAAGGGGATGTGTTTCGGCCTCAGTAGAGGTTACAGGTCTACGACGAAAAAACATGGAAGATATGGTGAACTTCCAAGATTTTGAAGACAGGTCTACAAGGGTCGGTCGCGCGTCGAGATACGAGTAGTTGGACTCGGATAAAACGGCATCAATAGAGGACCTAGATAGGCCTTTGAATTCCTGCATCGCCAGAGATCGTACTGCCTTCTTGTATTCGGCTGTTCGGAAGGCTTCGGTTCGCGAGACCAGAGTGTTCGAGTCGGAACTAGCATCGTCGCTAGTTCTCCGCCGCCCCTTCACGAATAAACCAGGATTCTTCAGCAACTTGTCCGTTATGATGAACAACCGCGACTCCTCGGAGAAGGATGAGAGCATTTCTCTGAAGACCTCTATCTGAACGTCGGGAAATAGGGCGGCGAGCATTTCGAGGTTGTTATTCAAGTCGAGAATGTCTTGGGGCGTCGGAGCGGCGGGCTGGAGCTGCGACTCATCCGAGAGGTATTCAGGAGAAGAGGAAGAATCGGGATTTCGCGGCCGCGACGGCGAAACTTCAGGAGAATATCTAGATGATCTAGGCTTGTTTGATTTGAAGGAACCCCTCCGGCCCGACGGGGCACCCAAAAACCCCGAAAGGAACATGTCGTATGTCGAGTCAAGTGGAATCAAGCAGGCAAAGCATCATCGTTGAAGTTGTTCAACCGTCGAGCGTCGTCTGGAATATGAAATAAAAAATATGACCGGGGACCCTGCTAGCATCAGTTATGAATTAGGAAGTTGATATTCAGGGCGCACAACAAGAGCGAGCCTGCGAACGAAGATTATCAAAAGAGGTATGGGATCGGATGTAATATGGAACTACCTAAGTAGAACAGGAGAGAAGGTTAAGGTAAGAGGTCAAAGCTAGAAGAAATTATATACCGAAGTATTTAAGATAAGATGGTCTAAGGTAAGCTGGACTCGAGTTTGCGACTTCCAATAAAAGTCGCGTTGGGAAATGCAAGTTCGCACCTACATAATAAGCACGGATCTGTGGAACCTTAACCTAGAAGGTAATAAGGTTGGTATGTATGTACCTAGGTACGAAGGCAATACGTGTGGCTTGTTGTGGCTTTGATCATTTTGACATGCTACAATATACGGTACATAAATAAGAACGAGCAAAAGGAAATGCAGAATGAACAGTATCATTCAAGATTTATCAAATACACATTAGTACCTATTAAGTAGTGTACTGAGATGGAGTTACCTAGGTGTTTACCTGGCGTTAAATTCGATCATGGCTATACAATACAAATATAGGGGCAGAACTACAGCGAAATAAGCCTTGTAGTTTTTAGAGCTGAGTACCTACTAAATTAGGTAGGCACTTCAGTCAAAGAGCGCCTATACAAGGTCATCAGTCCACCACAACAAGCAGATGACACTACGCCAGCAAAGGATCATAGAGACCCGAGCATATTAGCTACATAATTAAAGTGATGTATTCAAGATAAAGGACATAGCATATCAAAGTACTTTAGGGGTTAAAGTTTTCGCTTTTGCGATTTTAGTACCTCTAGTATCTACTCCTAGTCTCCTACCTATGCTAAGTAGGAAATACCTGCGAACAGAGGATATAGCTGATTCTAGGCAAAATATTGAGACAGCGGACTCACAACTACGTAAGTTACGGGATATAGATCAGCTCACCAGCATACGACGATGGATATCGGGTGACAGAAAACGCCTAAGATCTTATACGGGCTATCAAGCTCCACCCTGAGGCACTCGAGATCATACTTGAAGATAGAATAGGCGATTGCTTTTCACTAGTTGAGCGAGCAGGACCGAATCGTCCTGCAAATCAGTTCAGGTTGGCACGGTACAGACCCAGGAAGCACTCCGATTACAGGACCCAGTCGGTTGATTTTGAGTCGATGGTGGCATGTACCGTGTCAAGAGGCTGAGTCAAATGAGAGGGTATGAAGCAAGATCTCCAATCGGTGCCTTTTCTTCACTAGGTATTCCTTCGAAATAATAAGGTGGACTAAGTGGCTGAATACCAATACCAAGGGTTATTCGCCGCCCCAAAAGCCATCCATACGTGTCGATTCAAAATATTATGGATGCTGAAAATACCTAGCTGACCCGCCCGACCAGACCTGCCCATTGTACAACAGTATCACACGTGGTTTTGGGATGATAGAAGTGAAGGCTTTTCCCCCTTCGTAACCATGAACCTTATACTATTAGCCTCGGCTTTGGTGTCACGTAGCTATCCTGTCCGATCATGGTAATCGTACTTTCCCAGTGGCACGGAGTTCCAGGACCTACAGATCCGTACAGCTTGTACAAAAAGGTACCTGGGCTGCTGGGTCAACTAAGAGCCCAAGCTCTTTACAACGGACTCCTCCCAACATCATTCCAAGGGTAGCTAAGGTAGTAGTTCATATTTAAGGAACTACCTAGGAATTGCCCGATGGTTTACAGAGCTTGCCTTCGATGTACTGCGACAACTCTGCCATAGCGTAGCTTAAGTCCCAATTGGAGGGATATGCGATGAAGTACCTAGAGTTTAGCTAATTTTCGGTATGAAAAAAGTACGTAGCCCTAATAAACCTCGAGGATGCCCGAAGTTTAAGCTGAGCTAGTCTGTGATAGGCTAATTCAGCAACGTTAGGAAAAAAAGGAATATAGTGCCCATTTTGGGGAAGTGACGACAAGCAAAAGCGGGGAAGGTGCGTAACACCCCTCGACCAAGACTCTCGCTAAGAATAGTCCTGGATTGCACAGGCTCAATGGTCTAGTGGTAGGATACTCGCTTCGGGCTAACTTCGGTCCATCTCATCCAATGAGATCTCGAGAATGTGAGTGGTCCCGGGTTCAAATCCCGGTTGAGCCCTGGCAAGTACGGAGTTCCGTTCATTTTTTGCAGTTCTACAATATCTCAATTGCGCTTTCTTTTTTTGTGGCATCGTACCTTCATCACAGAACATCTAGCAGCTTAGTTACCCAAAGCTTTAAATTTGCCAGCAATCCATGGATGCATCTACATGCGTCAATTCTATATATGACCAGACACTGCTTCCCTTTATTGGAGTAATACACGATACGATCTATTGACTGCATCTGAAATTTAAGCATATATCAGGTACATATGTAGCTAAGTGAAATTTTATGTATCTACATCATCCCTTTTCCCTACCTTTTGCTCATTCGAACCTCAACATCCTTCATTGGCGTCAAAATAATGGCCCTTTGGTTTTGGCATGACCCTAATGGAAAATCTTACACAAGAGTAAAGTTATCGTTCGATACCATGATAACTAATATCGTCAAGACCTCATTGGTCTCAGTCTGTTTACCAGAGCATACGCTTGCGCCCTCGAACAGACGGTAGGCAGATGCGGAGCGTAGAATATGCGCATAGTATTAGACAAAAGACTTGGTCGACTATTGCCTTTCGGTGCAAATTCTAGTGAAACGTTGAGTCCTTGATGTTTTTCTGGGTGCTAGTGACTATCTTATAAAGGCTCATGTACTCTTGTGTCGCCCATGGTGTGTATCCCTGGTGTAGGCAACTTACTTACCTGTTATCTGATAGGTCGTTAGAATTCGTCGCGCCCGGTCATGATTCCCGGAATATAAGCTCATATTAACGACGTAACAATCTCTTTCAAGGGACATATATATGTAAAGCCCACCATTTCCCTACGGCTTCCAGTCTTATATCAACCCTTGAAACGCATGTAACAGTTAAGAGGTCGCGACCCTTCCCCAACCATAGCACTAACCAGTCAAACAATGTCGCCTACCACTACATATCCAGTAGCATTTCTTAAGATATATATATATGATTAATAGTTGAAAACCAGGAGTCTTTAGGTTTGTAACTTATAACATTGGTGTTGGATGTGGACTTGTCTCTTCAACCCTTGCAACTTACTTTGATAATGCCATTGTATCCGATCCCAGCTGTGACCATGTCACGCTCTCGCTCGGAAGCTCCTTGTTAGAGAACTAGGGTCTGTCTTAGTTCAAGTTACTACGAGCCTGTCGAAAAAAGCTCCGTAGATCCCAGAACGGTTGACTCGATCACCACGTGCGAGTGAGTCCGTTGGATCACTTCCGATGCTGCCATTCCAAAATCTGGTAAGGATCCAAACGGCATTTGGATGGTTAACACCGAGTATGAAAGTGTGGGATTTCCCAGAGAGAAATGGGAAACGGGTAAGTGGGTGTATGTATATTAACTAAGTCTTTACCAACCATACATATATCTATGCTAAGAATACGATCACCTAGAGTTTTCCTTATTAGATATAGCAAAAAGTATTGGGCTCAACCAGGACTCGAACCTGGGACCTCACTAAGGTGAGTCGGGTATAAAACCAGCCCGATTAGTGAATCATGACCACCTAGACCATTGAGCCAGTAAAGCAGGAGACTATTTGCAAGTATCCTGCCATCGTAGTTGCTTGAAAAATATTTGGTGTTTTTCCTTTTATTCTATGCTCAAATCATATTGTGAGCGTATATACATACATACCTGTTAGTCTGCGGAATCTTTTAAGTTCCATGTTCCTTCCTACCTTACCATGTAGGTATTATACAATCTCGTTAGGCGTGGTTGCCAGTGCAGTCATGTGAGAATCTAATCAAGTACATACCTGAATGCTAGGACTAAAAGATGCCCGAGGTTAGGTGTTTCCTTAATGTTAACGACAAGGGGTTATTATTTGAGACACTTGCTTGCCCAAGTATTCGAAGACTTTAGAAACCATTTCCTTTCGGCCATTTGTCGTTGCTAGCTATTGGATGATACATCTCTTATTACTCTTCAGTTGATTTACCAAGACTTTTTTGACTTAATGACCCGCCTTTCGCCCTGGGGACGAGCCTTTCGTTATACTGGAATTCTATCTAATCCTGAATTAGACTTCGTATTAGGCTACTTTGATGAGACCAATAAAAGCAAACCATTGTTTCCAAAAATGGCAAGAAGTTTTAGTGTTCCATTCCTGAAGCTACCCTTAGCAACATAGTATACTCTCAGTCCACGTCTCTTGGAATGTGAACACGACAAGTTATATACATTATAGATACATGTACCTGGAAGCCATCTGAGTTTACCGACAGGGAGAGGACCGGCCTTCTGCCAAAATCGTAGAACGAATGAAGGAGATGTTACAAGGCGCGTTGCCGTTGTCGTGTTTTCAAACTATGCTCTTGCACAATGAACTACTCTCTGGTAGCTATCGCCCAGCCTATATAATCTTACGTTCGACAGCTTCCGCAAGCAGGTTAGGATTGTCTTTGATCCTGAGTATCAGGCTCCCACAAAGGCTTATGGACGACAGATTCGGATAGTGCTAGTCTGCGGTGACTTGGCACTAAGTGGCTTCGACTTGTTGAATTCTAGCGAGCGAAGATATGAATACTGGAATAGATTCCTAGGCTAGGATGATCGGGAATGATTCCCACTTCAAATAGTAAGAGATCAGACCGAAACCTAGAAAAGGGGTGGGATTTATCTCATCAAGCTCAGACCAGCTATTCATTGAGTGGCGGGCTGCGCCCGCCACCACCTCCGCCACAGTGGCCCGTGCCATTGTACTGTGGGG